TCCAACTGTTTTCTCCAACAGAATCAAGCGCGAACTCAAAGGCGCTTATCCAGGCGATGAATATAGAGATAAACGGGATTTTTTGCAATTTATAATTTTCATAAAAGGCCTCCACCCAAAAATCAAACTAAAATTTTTGGGCCCCCTTAATGCGAACTATGACCAACTTCTTCGCAACGCAGACGGCATGTGGGATTTAGTCAAAAACGACGTAACATCTGTAGATCCTGACATACTCAATAGCAAAATGGATAGAATTCTCGACAAATTAGATTTCGCAACGCCGCTGGTCACCTCTGTAAGCAATCCTAACTCTCCCCAGAGATCTAGGTATTTTTCCTATAATACTCGATATACGCAAAGGACACCAAGCCGAATTTTTCGCAATCCCCGCAGTCCGCACGTTAGATCTCGCGTAACTTATTCCACAAATTACTTCGGAAGAGGTAGACCTCAATTTTATGAAAACAGGTCTCTTCGCGCGCAAAGCCGTTTTTACGAGAACAGGTCCCCATATCCACCGAGACAAAATTTCCAGCAGCGCCAATTTCGAAATTGGAGGTCTAGATCGCCGCGTAGATTTCAGTTGCGATCGCGTACTCCGCCGCGACGTAACCAAACTAACAGGTCCGTAACTTTTGCGCCGAATCGTAGGGACGTCAATTCTGTCTCAACTAATCTCTCTACTGGCTTAAATCGTCATGCTAGCTCTCTATTTCTACTTACTATTTTAACAATTTTTATTCAAAATTCTTCGGCATTATCTCTAAAATACCAAATTTGTGGAGGAAAAGCAGGCTGGTCGGTTGCTTACCCAGAATTTGCATCTTGCTCTCGTGTGCGAAATACCTCTCAAATTCTCGTAACTACAGCTTCTGTATATGTGGAAAAAACAGAACCATTGATTATACCCGCATACCATTGCTTCAACAAAACTAGGGTAATTTGTACTTCATCCTATCTACATCTCTCCTATTCTGTCAAAAGCGATTAAGAATTCACTTCTCCTTTGGATGCTTCTCTATGTCAGTCACTCAGTAGAATTAAAAAATATCTGGACAAATCGTTGCTCACACTCTCGCCGCATGTTTTTGGTTCTCAAAATGTAGTACGTTATACCTATCCGTGGTTTTTTGGTGAATAATGTACGCAAACCACAAACGTTTTCGTTGAAAAAGGCGAATTAGCTATGTTTGATGACAATATTTTTACCAGTCAGTTTGGCGACACTGCACATTGTCATATTCGTGATGAAAAATGCCAACTTACCCATGGTACCATTGTTTGGAAGGCACCTACTCACGATTTCCCTATTTGCAAATATGTAAAAGCCATCGAAAGTATCGCATACGTCACCCCATCACACAGTCTTATTGAAAAGATTCAATCAGCTTTTACTTTCAAAAACGTGACGTATACTCAAACAGAAATTTCGGTTTGGTGCTTGAAAAACAGTTCACTTGCAATGGATAACGGTGTCTTCATACATCTTTCGGAAATTCCGTACGTAGATCTAAAAAATCTCTTTACCAATCCGGAGCTGATTCACCAAATAAACAAAAAGCATTTTAATTCTTCAAATCTTTACAGTTCTGAGAATATTCAGAATTTCTCTCCTATTCCCACTCGTAGGAAAAGAGACGCAGTAATTCAAAATATAATAATATCACATTGTCCAAACTCTCTCTTTTCAATAAAATATCTCCTGTTCGCAATCTCAACTCCACAGTAAATTTAAGTAGTTTTAGCTCTTAAAGAGCCAGATTTTTCCTCTTTGAATGATGGAATAGTACAGACTGCAGACTACTTGGAATCCAATGCAAAACACATACTTCAAACAAACAACAATCAGTTTTGAAAACTTTTAAGCTGTTCACTATAATCCGCATCGTAGTTTACATAATCGTCATAATTCTATTAATCCTTTTTGTTATTTTCCTCTATTATTACTTTTACAGCGTCAAAATCTCCTTGAATTTTATTTTTTCCATTTGTAAACAAATGTGCTGCTCAAAAGATTCGCGTCTCCGCAATGTACCATCTGCGCCACATCAAAGTCCAAATCACCTAGAAATGGAATACGCAGAAATGAACTCGCGCACAAAATACAAATCATCACACCGGGAATCCAGTGTGACGCAACACGTTGCTGTAGATGAAACGCCTGTCGATGAATCCGGCCTCCAGATTACGCATACCTCCCAATTTTCTCAAATTCAAGCATTTGATAGCTTCTGTGCGATTACAATCAACTTCAAATATTAGGTTGTCCCGAAAGTTTTGTCGGTTTTTTCAAGCCACTACAAAACCACGCACAGTAAACACCTAAGCGAGTTTTAACATGCATTCGATGCAGCCTTTCCTTCTCTTTCTTATGGATACATTCTCGAGTTACAATCTTGTATGCTCTTTTCGATATTTGTTAAAAATTCTCCATCCGCCAATTTTATTTAGTCAAAGATTGGGTATTTTTTAAGAATTTCATTCTAAAGTTTCCAATATGGTCAAGTATGATTCTAATAGAGCAATTCTCGGACTAAAAGGCCACATTTTTAGATTCTCCTAATCTGCTGTTTATGCCTTGAAAAAAATTATTTCTTGAGAGATCTCGATTTTTGGCAAAGTCATGAAACACGCAACTGCAGCAAATTCACGGAATATTCAAAGTTTCTCCGAATTGAAAAATGATTCTTATTAAAGATCATTTATGCAACATGACCAAGTTTGATTTGCCTTGAAAAAGCAGCTTTTTGGAATTTTCGGTACTTTTACGTGGTAAATGTAATCAAAAAGTCGCGGTTTTTATTGAATAATTGATTATAACGGACTTGGTAAACGTGCATGTAATCTAAAATAAACACTATGTAGCCAAAGGTTTGCTCTACGTAATAGCTACCAGCGCTCTTTGAAAGCAAGTACAAAAATTTTTAAAATTCAGGAAAGATTTGGCATTACTGATGAGCTGCTCAAAAAGCCATAGCGATAACATCGCAAGGGCAGGGTAGATCAGAGAGAAAATATAGCTGTATGAAAGAGGATAAAAATCTGAATCAAATGGTATCTAGCTTGCCCATGGATTGGTGTTCTGTGAGTTTCAGTGATCGATGAAAGAAACCAACAAAACTTTCGGGACAACCTAACAGTATTTTTATACCCATAAAAATCAATAACCTTTCCACTTTCGCACTTTTTGACACGGGCTCTTCTCTAACCATCGTTTCCGAAAGGATTGCAAACCATATTCGCGCACGTATCATACCAACTAGCTTAGTGCAAGGCGTTACTGCTAATGGCTCACCAATCAAGTTCCTAGGGCAAATTAAATGCACCGTTCGATGTCACCAATTCTCCCATAGAGCTTATGGTTTTGGTAGTTAACAACGATCATTGCTCTGCTGACATTTTACTAGGGAATGACGCGATGAATCAAATAGCAACTAACATTACTATCTTATATATAAAGCTGAATGTCTGTTTGTCTGTATGTCTGTCTGTCTGTCTGTCTGTCTGTATGTATGTCTGTGTGTACGTATGTTCCGAATAGAAAATTCCATTTCTGAACCGATCCGGACCAAACTTGGCACACATACACTACGGGCCCCGGCGGGTGTCATAGGCTACTTTTCGTCATCGATCGATATCGATTTTATCGATTTTTATCGATTTTTTTGCTGAGTTCACCTACGGGGCTGGGAGTTGGCACAGGGGGGTAATCGAGCATGGGGATTCCGAATACAATATTGGTTTTCAGGATTATCGATTACTTTTATCGATTTTATCGATTTTTTTGCAAAGTTTGAGCTACGGGGCTGGGAGTTCGCACAGGGGGGTAATCGAGCATGGGGATTCCGAATACAATATTGGTTTTCGGGATTATCGATTACTATTATCGATTTTATCGATTTTTTTGCAAAGTTTGAGCTACGGGGCTGGGAGTTGGCACATGGGGGTAATCGAGCATGGGGATTCCGAATACAATATTGGTTTTCAGGATTATCGATTACTTTTATCGATTTTATCGATTTTTTTGCAAAGTTTGAGCTAGGGGGCTGGGAGTTGGTACAGGGGGGTAATCGAGCATGCTGATCACCCCCAAGGGGGTGATCAGCATGCTCGATTACACTCCTGTGCCAAATTCCAGCCCCCTAGCTCAAATTTTCAAAAAATCGATAAAATCGAAAAAGTAATGGACGATCCTGAAAACTAATATTGTGTTCGTAATCTGCATGCTCGATTACCCCCCTGTGCAAACTCCCAGCCCCGCAAGTCAAACTTTACAAAAAAAATCGATAAAATCGATAAAAGTAATGGACGATCCTGAAAACTAATATTGTGTTCGTAATCAGCATGCTCGATTACCCCCCTGTGCAAACTCCCAGCCCCGCAGGTCAAACTTTACAAAAAAATCGATAAAATCGATAAAAGTAATGGACGATCCTGAAAACTAATGTTGTATTCGGAATCCCCATGCTCACTTCGCCCCCTGTGCCAACTCCTAGCCCTGTAAGTGAACTCTGCAAAAAAATCGATAAAAATCGGTAAAATCGACATCGATCGATAACGAAAAGTGGACTGTGACACCCGCCAGGGCCCGAAGTGTATGTGTGCCAAGTTTGGTCCGGATACGGCGGAGCCGGGTAAGCCAGCTAGTTAACTATAAATCCAAAACCATACATTTTGATCACCACAAAATTCCCATATTTGATGCAAATTATCCGAATACTAATCCTCTTCACCTGCCAATCTACCTCATGTCCGAAATCACTTCAAAACCCTCATCCGACAACATAGTATTCGCTTCCACAAAACACATTCTTCCGCCTAATTGGGAATTCCTGACTTGCGACAATCCCGGCATTCCACTACCATTCGGTTTGCATAGGTGAAACTCTTTCGTCACACGGTCATCAAGAATTTATCGTTTTCGACTCAACTCCTTCTTCCGTTACCCTACACACAAAAACAAGTTGATTTCCAACTCAGAATTTCTTGGTTCTCAAATGTACTGGCCGCCAGTGTTTTCAGTAAATCAGAACGCGCAAAATCAAGATATTCCGAGTTACAAAGAAGCTGCAGAATACTTACCCGTTGAAGCTGATATCTCTCAAAATTTGCCGTCTTTTCCTTCAAATAGAACTACACTTCCTCTTACCAAACGCATTAAGATCAACTATTCAATTCTCAGCAACAACCAAGTAAGCCAAGTTCACCATCTTTTACAAAAACATTCTAAAGCATTTGTTGGTAATGACGGTAATTTGGGTAAATACACAGGCTCTATCACTCACCAAATCAATTTTGTGCCTCATGCAAAATTTCCGCAACAAAAACCCTACCGTGTTCCCTTGGAAAAACAACGCGAAATTGAAAGGCAAATAAAAGAAATGCTTAGGACTAGATTGATAGAGCCAAGTAACAGCAAGTTCGCCTCACCTATCGTTTTGGTTAAGAAGAGTTCGGGTAAAGATCAGTGGAGATTTACAGTAGATTACAGGCAGATAAATGTCATTATAGAGAACGAAACGTACTGCATTCCTCATGTACAGAATATTTTGGACCTAGTAAGTGGTAAATCTGCCTATTCTACCCTGGATTTTAAGAGCGGTTTTTTCCAAATACCTCCCGAAAAGAAACATCGAAAGCGTACCGCCTTTTCCTCGTTCCTTGGCTTGTTTCATTTCACCGTTATGGCGCAAGGTCTAAAAGGCGCTCCTGGAACATTTCAGCGCGTAGCTAACGAGTGGATACGTGAACTCAAAGCATGCTGCTTCGCATATATTGACGACATCATAATAGCGAGTCCCAGTGTTGCACAACATTTTCACGATCTTGACGAGGTGCTTACTAGGATAGAAAACTTCGGAATGAAACTCACTCCGGAAAAATGCTCTTTCTTTCAAACAGAAGTCAGCTACTTAGGCGTCCTCATAAGTATAAAAGGTACACGGCTAAATCCTGAAAAAGTCGCAAGCATGGCCAAAATTCCGCGACCCACAAATCAAAAAGCTGTCAAGTCCTTTCAGGAGCAGCATCATATTTCCGACGTTTCATTCCACGTTTTTCTTTCATCGCAGCTCCTCTAAACCAACTCCTTACCAAAAATACTCCCTTAGTGTGGAACAGCTCTCACGAGCAAGCTTTCAATGCTCTCAAAAATGCTTTGATACAGGCTCCTGTACTAGCTCCACTCATCCTTTCTCAGCCATACATAATTCATGCGGACGCCTCTACTTTTGGCTTAGGAGCGCGCTTACTGCTGCGAAATCCCTCTTCTCAACAGGAGCATCCCATTGCGTACTGCAGCAGGCCATTAACCAGGCATGAAAAGAACTATTCTATCATTGAATTGGAAGCTCTTGCAAATGTGTTCGCACTAGAGCATTTTTATCCGTACGTAGCGAACGCCTCTATCACACTGGTTACCGATTATGCGCCATTGAAATCGTTGCTCTATCGCTCAGATCTTGTTGGCCGCTTAGCAAAATACCAAATAGTAATTCAAACGTATGACATCACCATCGTCTACAGAGCAGGCAAACATAATAGTTTCTGCGATTTTTTGAGCCGATATCCTATAATGTCCATTACTCCAAGTTTTGCCAGCTCAATACCTTGGATAGCATTGTAGAAAGTCAACAAAATTCCAGTTACGGAAGCCTGATCAACTTTCTAGCGTGAAAAACTCAAACGTACCGCAGCAATTTCTTGGTACACTTGACAAATATTCTACTTTCAATGGAGCTTTATATTTTACGGTTCAAAAGAAACCAAGACTAGTAATTCCTAGCCAGGAGTTGCAAAATCAAATTGTCTGTCTCTTCCACGACAATCCGTTAATCGGTTCTCACTTTGGCATACGAAAAACGTATAAAAACATTTCAGAAAAGTATTACTGGCCGAATATGTTTCAAAGCATTGTGAATTACGTAAAATCTTGTCCCGCATGTCAAAAGGTCAAAACGCCTGCCGGAAACATTATTCGCGAACAACTAGGGATCTTTCCTATTCCGCAGCGACCTTTCAAGCGCGTGCATACCGATATTATTGGTCCTTTGCCACAGTCGAACACAGATACATCTCAATTACGGTATGCGCATTCAGGAAGTTTATCATCTGTACGCCCTTGGTAAACCTGACCGCAGATCTAATGATAAAAGCGCTTATCAATGGCGTCATATCAAAGCATGGCATCCTCAATGAGATAGTAAGCGATAGAGGCTCAAATTACACCAGTGAGCTTTTCAAGGAGATTAACAAAACTCTAGGGATCTCCAACAACCTCACCACAAGCTATAACCACAAGGCCAATGGCCAAGTAGAAAGGATGGTAAAAGTAATAACAAATTCGCTTACTATCTATTGCTCAGAGGCTAGGGATTTGTGGTCAGATTTCATTCAGCCTATAGTTTTCGCGTATGATTGTAGTAAGAATGATTGAACTGGCCACAGCCCCTTCTCTGTAGTGCACAGCAGACATCCGGTAACGTGGATAGATATCGCCCACAAATTACCCTCGACTCTAACCTTTGCCACAGATACGTTCCCAGGACAGTTTGCAGCGGCCCTGCAAACCACGATAGCGGAGGTAGGAAGCAGTATCGCAGCGAAAACGGCAACGTACAAGGCTGGATACGACTTTGTATACCAAAAAGACCTTTCCATCGGAGACCTTGTTCTTCTTCATGACGACACAGTTCGTCCTAAACTGACGGTCCAATGGAAAGGTCCCTTTTAAATTGTATCTATCGCACGTACGAATGTCACAATCAAAAGTCTGTTTACGAAGTCACCACCACAAACGGTGCACATAAACAGACTCAAACTATATTTCAGCAGACCGAGCGAGCGTGAGATTACTGTACAAAAACCAATACCAGCTCACATACAGGCAGAAACCTTGTGCTCTAACACGGAATTGAGACGTTCAGAGCGTCTCCAAAAGAAGCATAATCCGCTTTCTTTTTGAATGAAGGTAAGGTGCCAGTAGCTATTTCAAAAAAAAGTCTTTTCTTTCTAAAATAGCTACTGGTACAGAGCTTCTATTTCTTGTTATTGTTATTCGCCGGCTGCGCTCAATACACCAAACTTCTCCGAATAGGCGGTTCAGAGAAGGGTAGTTAAGCTTCAAAAAAATTCACCCTTTGACTACGCCCTTGGAAACAGTGCTAGGGAAGTGCTCCCTCTTGAGCTGTGTACAAGTAAAAATGACTGTAAAATTCTTGCAATTATCATAACTTGTTGTAAATGACAGCGAAGTGAAACCAACAAAGTTTTGCTACTCTGCTTGCATGACACCCATGTTTTTATTTTGAATTTCAATTGGTTGTTGTAATTAAAATTATTATTTCCAATGCTCAAAATTTCAATGTAAACTTCATGTGCTCAATTACCCCTTGTCAACTTCTTCAACTTTACCTACCGCTACATGCTAACCCTTCTTCAACGTCAAGTTCACCCATCTCTACATGTTTCATACTGTCAGTGAAAGCTCCGTGTCCATTCGCCCTCATTTTGTTACTTATTGCTCAATCTCGAGTTGCTCCATCATTCTTCCCTAGAGAGCGAGCTTTGTGCTGGTCATGCGAGTGCGTGCCTCTAGCCCGCTTGTAACATACCTGCCCTATCTATGTCAACTACGAAGTAACGAAATGATCGCGACGTCAACGAACATTTCCACAAAGTCAAATGGTCAATGGTCACAAGCAAATGGTTGAAGTCAAATGGTCGATGGTCACAAGCAAATGGTCAAAGCCAAATGGTCAAAGTCAGATGGTCAATGGTCACAATCGAATGGTCACATATGAAAGCTCGGGACGAGCTTCACTAAGGAATGGTCATGTTAAGATGTAGCCGCAACGTGGGCGGCGCCTGATCAAGATCAGAAGAGCCGGACCTAGCCTCCTAGCTGGTGGCTCCGGTCTCCCCCTCCGACCCTTTTTCTCCGTCCCTTTTGTATTTTATGTTTTAATGATAAACTTTAATAATTAAATTTGTTTGCATAATCTTGGGAGCAGAGGGGATAATAGCAAGTCATGAGCCTGCGCAACTCATGGACTTGACATCTTTTTCAACAAACATTATGCAAGCATTTAGATCTTCAATGGAGTAAGACCTCAAGACTCAACTACTAATTTAAGTGGACGAGATGCTTCTACGGCTAGTGAGCAGGAGGGGATTCAGGGGACTCAAGTACCCAATCGGGAGCAGAAGAATCTTCAGCTACTGAAGCAGGCGGGAAAAGTACCAGTGCAGCAGCGGAAACCACTGCACACGATTCAGGAGGGGAGACTACCGGTGCAGGAGGTTCTACCGCCGCAGGAGAAGGCAGTACTGCTGCCAAGGGAGCGACAACAGGAACAGGCGCAGGCGCAGAGACTACGGAAGCAGGAGAAACAGGTGAAACCACTGCAGCTGGAAGTACAACAACAGGTGCTGGCGCTGGTGAAACTACAACTACTGGACAAAAAGAAACCGAAGCTCGTGTACCTCCAGCGAGTAAGTTTCTTTGTAGTTTTCCTTATTGTTAGTAAAAAAAAGTGAGCAGTTTGTTAAATTTTTTGGAGCATTTGTGATATTTCTTTGGTTTGTTTTTGAAAGGACCTCCTGAGTGCTATGTGCAAATGTGATGGATATATTCCTGTACTGAGAGCGTTTTTTAGACAACCAGATGTGCCCAGGTAATAAACGTACGACTGACAAGATTAGAAAGAAGGCTCTTAATCTAACTAACTGGCGTAGGTTAGTTCAGCTAACGAAAAAAACTGCTGTAAATGATGGCATTCGATGTTGCTGGTCAGGATCGAAATGTAGCGAAAGGATGCTAAATCATGCCATACCAACATCTACAATCTGGTTGAAAATTACATTGTTCAGATCAGTACTTGCCCAGGGACAAGTGGTGAAGAGGAACGGTGTCTACATGCCTACAGCTGCAAATATGCAGAAATTAGTTAGTGAAGAGTCACACGAAGTTCCAACTCTTCCATTACACTAACCGTGCTGAGGCGTGCCAACCTGTGGAAAATGAGGCAAACACTGCGGATTATCAGGAGAACAGATATTACATTCCGAAATCAGATGTTGCATCTGCCGAAGCGCCTAGAGTTGATGCCATGGCCGCGGTCGGTAGCCCCATAGTATTCTTTCAATTTCACATGGTACATTTTGCAGAGTATAAAAGAGTGGTGGAAACGGGTGAGACTAGATGATCCTGTTGGGCTGCATTGTCATTTCAGAGCCAAACATCAGAGTATTCAAGTGAGAACCTTCACAAGGGTAAGAACGCATCAATTCCAAAACAGAGTACTCTAGACAAAGCCTAATGAGTTTAGATGGCTTGGGCTAACACAAACAAAATAAGCTGCACGGTTCAGGGATGTGGTGATCGATGGCATACCGTATGCCTTTATAGCCCATTGTGAGTATTTTCATAATGGTACAAATCTAGTTATTCTACGCTCTGCTTTTTCAGTGGAAACCAAGTCGAAGAAAGGATTTACATACCCGGAACTACGTGCAGCGCGTGTCCGGCTGGAACGTTCTGCAACGGCGTTCTTGGACTGTGCGAGGCTCCTGAATCATAATCTTCTTTCGTAACCACACAATCTTTTCATGAGTCGTTCCATCTAACGAAGGAAAGTTCAAACTTCCCAATTTTTTCGTTAAGGTTGCAGCATTACCATTGTGTACTTGAGATGAAATCATATATTAGGTTGGTGCAAAAGTTCTTTCTCACCAAATTCAAAAATTCATAACTTGTTGAATTCTGAGCGAATTTGCAAGATTCAAACATTTTGTAAGAGAGGAACTCATGCTCTCTGCAACTCTGCTTGAATTGTTCGTTAATGTATACAAATGAAGGAGATAGAAGCTCAAAACCAAAATCACTCAAAATTTGAATTTTTCGTGTAGGGTCATAAAAAATCCAAAACTTGGAACAAAAATCCGAGCAGTCAGTATTGTAGGCTCTTTCACAAGCTCTTTTCAACCGTGCAAAGTTTGTGCCGATTGAGCGTTTCTGTGAAAAGTTATGAATTCCCTGAAAAATGCTAAAATAAATCAAATTCGCCCTTTTGTATTGCTTGCTCGAAAATCATAACTTCTCATAGAGACGCTCAATCGGCGCAAACTTTGCGCTGTTGGAAAGAGCTAGTGAAAGAACCTACAATACTGACTGCTCCGATTTTTATCGCAAGTTTCCGATTTTTTATGACCCTACACGAAAAATTCAAATTTTGAGTGATTTTGGCTTTGAGTTCTATCTCCTTCATTTGTACACAATAACAGTTCAAGAAAACTTGCAAAGTGCATGAGTTCCACTCTTACACAAAATTTAGATCTTGCAAATTCGTGAGAATTCAGCAAGTTGTGAATTTTTGAATTTGGTGGAAAAGAACTTCTGCGCCAACCTGATACAGTGCTGGACATAATTACAGAAACACTCTAGAAATCGTCGTAATTTTCGTTCTTGTCAGTGAATCTGTCTGAAACTTTGCTGTATGGTGCGCATGTTAGCCTACCATAACTCCTCAGAACGGCTTCCAATCCCGTTGATTTCGAACAGAGAAAAATGGAAAAATTCGAAAAAGCCTGTTTTGCAAGCTGGACATAATTATAAAGACACCTGGCCTTTTTAAACATTATCGCATTCCTTGACTCCCAAATTTTTTTGTAGAGTTACATCTCAGAATATGAAACTTTTGCAGCACTTAGGACCTGTCATGCTACTCAAGGAAAGGTGATCCTTGCATTTTTCGTTTTCAAAGGTATCAGAAGTCAAACTGCTTCAATAAACAGCTGGTTTGAAGAGTTTTCAAGCCCTTGTTCATTTCGAATAATCATGGAGTCTAGTGATCCTTCTGGTTAGATGAGGTGAAGAGCGCTTTCATAATCTCTGCGTAATCGCTGATTTTGACGGACAGACTCCAACCTCACCATAGGTTGTCGCGCTTTTGCACCACAAAACTCGATTTTCAAGTTAAACCAAAACGCTGCAATGTAGCCGCAACAATACACGTACAACAATAAACTTGTGTGCCTAGTCAGGAAAAAATTTCGGGGTTGCACATTCTGGATCAGCCGCAGTTGTCATCCGTTGAGAGTTGAGTCGCGCACCCTGCACAATCATATTTAACTCAAATCAAGAAATCGAACAGGAGACCGCTTGAAACTTCAAAATCTTGCTAATCTTAGCTACCGCGCAAAATGCGACATGAAACAGAGAATATAGTGAGATTTGTGTTTATATTGAATCTACTGCTCGCATAGAATTTTCGTTGAAAGTATTTCAGATCTAAATGGCTGCAAAAGATGCATCTTTATGTAGACAATGTAATAAATCGAGTCCATCACTTCACGAGCATTGGAAAGTGAGTTTTGTGGTGCAAAAGTGCGACAACCCTATGGTGAGGTTGGATCTGTCCGTCAAAATCAGCGATTACGCAGAGATTACGAAAGCGCTCTTCACCTCATCTATCCAGAAGGGTTAGTAGATTCCATGATTATCATTTGAAATGAACGAGGGCTTGAAAACTCTTCAAACCAGCTGTTTATTAGAGCAGTTTGACTTCTAATGCCTTTGGAAACGAAAAATGCAACGATCATCTTTCCTTGAGGTAGCATGACAGGTCCTAGGTGCTGCAAAAGTTTCATATTCTGGGATGTAACTCTACAAAAAAATTTGGGAGTCAAGGAATGCGATAACGTTTAAAAAGGCCAGGTGTCTTTATAATTATGTCCAGCTTGCAAAACAGGCTTTTTCGAATTTTTCCATTTTTCTCTGTTCGAAATCAACGGGGTTGGAAGCCGTTCTGAGGAGTTATGGTAGGCTTACATGCGCACCATACAGCAAAGTTTCAGACAGATTCACTGACAAGAACGAAAATTACGACGATTTCTAGAGTGTCTCTATAGTTATGTCCAGCACTGTATTAGGTTGTCCGGAAATTAATGCAAGTTGTGATTTCCAACCGCAATAAGTCATACATTTCTCATTTTTTAATAAGTTGCAAGATAAAGTTCGATAGAGCAAAGCAAGCTCTACAAGATGGCCATCATGCTTTAGCAACAGCTCTGATCCACCATGAGTTTCGAGCCAAAAACTAAAAAGATTCAACTGCCCGAAAAATTAAAAAAAAATCGGAACTCGCTTCGTAAAAATCCTACAAAAATTCTAACTTGCTCACGTAAACACAATCCACATAAGGCATCTATATACGCCGTTGCCGTATTTTTTTCTCTGCTAGAAATCAAGAAAACGGAAATTTTCGTGCATTTGCTAAAGTGGCGCTGTGCTGTTCCCACATATGTAGTTGTATACTACAAACCTTTAGAAGTACAAACGTAAATTTCCAGCTCTCTATAAGTTTTAGTTCTCGAGTAATATCGAATATAGTCTTCCCTAGTAATGTGGTCCAAGCTAAAAGTCAAATTTCTCGCGAACTAAAGATTGTAGAGGGCTGGAAATTTACGTTTGTACTTCTAATGGTTTGTAGTATACAACTACATATGTGGGAACGGCACAGCACCACTTTAGCAAATGCACGAAAATTTCCGTTTTCTTGATTTCTAACAGAGAAAAAAAATACGGCAACGGCGAATATAGATGCCTTATGTGGATTGTGTTTACGTGAGCAAGTTAGAATTTTTGTAGGATTTTTACGAACTGAGTTACGATTTTTCTCAATTTTTCGGGCAGTTGATTCTTTTTAGTTTTTGGCTCGAAACTCGTGGTGGATCAGAGCTGTTGCTAAAGCGAGATAGCCATCTTGTAGACAGCGAGATAGCCATCTTGTTCCGGACAACCTAATATACAGGGTGTCCCAAAAAATGTTTCGGACGTTTGATCGCCAATATCTCTCTTCCCAAGAAGTCTTTTGCATTGCTTCAGGTACCGTTTTGTAGAGCTGGCTTCAACTTAGATTTGCATTATAGAACGAATCATCCATCTCTCTTCATTACTGTAGGATTACGGTAGAAATTCAAAGAGGGTTTTGAGCCATGAAAGGCCATATTTTGCCTCAAAAAAGATATAAAACAGCCTGAAAACTTTTACACTAGGCTAATTAGAGTTGCTGATTACAACTGTAAAGTTCCCAACTTGTTATGATGCTTCATTGAAGAGTTATGCCAGGTAAGAGATAGCGGCCATTTTTTCAATGTTCTTAAAAAGTGCGATTAAACCGTTTAGAAAGCTTCGTAATCTTGTGAATAGTCTAGCATTGAACTCAGCGTCCATAAAAACCCTATTACACATGTTTTCACATTATTTTGAAAATTTTTGAAAAGGCAGCTTTTTCCATATTGACACCATATGTTTCAAGTTTCTACCGTAATCCTACAGTAATGAAGAGAAATGGGTGATTCGTTTTATAATGCAAATCTAAGTTGAAGTCAGCTCTACCAAAGGTACCTGAAGCAAGGCAAAAGACTTGTTGGGAAGAAAGATATTAATGATCAAACGTTCGAAACATTTTTTTGGGACACCCTGTATTAGGTTGTCCCGAAAGTTTTGTCGGTTTTTTCAGACCACTGTAAAACCACGCACAATAAAGACCTGAGGAATTTCAACATGCATTCGATGCAGCTTTTCCTTCTATTCCTTATAGATGCACTTTCATACCATAATGTTATATGCTTTCTTTGGTAATTGCCGAAATTCTACACCTGTCAATTTTACCTGCTCAAAGTTGAGCTAATTTTTAAAAATTTCGTTACAAAGTTTCGAAAGAGGTGAAGCATGGGTCAAATAGAGCAACTCTCGGGCTACAAGATATAATTTTATATTCTCCTAATTTGCTGATTTTGACTTCAAAAAATTATTTCTTCTGAGGTCTCGATTTTTGGCTAAGTCATGAAACGCGCAATTGCAGCAAAAGCATAAAAGCTTTTGAAGTTTTTGCGAATTTAAACTTGATTGTTATTAAACATCATTTATGCAACATAACCAAGTTTGATTTGCTTCAAAAATCAGCTTTTTGGAATTTTCGGTAATTTTACGTGGTAAAACGTGTTCAAAAAGCCGCGGTTTTTCTCAAATAAATAATTATTACGGACTTGATAAACGTGGCCCACGTAATCTAAAACAGCCACAATGTAGCCAAAGGTTTGCCCTACATAAAAGTCACCAGCGCTCCTTGAAAACGCCATGACAAAAAAATTTAAAATTTAGGAAAGATTTGGCGTTACTGCTGGGCTGCCCGAAAAGCCATGTCGATAACATCGCAAATACAGGGTAGATCAGAGAGCAGATATAGCTATAAGAAAGAGAATAAAAATCTGAATCGAACGGTACGTAAGACATCCATGGATTGGTGTTGTGAGTTTTAGTGAGCGATGAAAAAACCGACAAAACTTTCGGGACAACCTAATATGTAAAGGAATGCCTGTTTGTATGTATGTCGCGATTAGAAGGAACCATTTCTAAACCGACCCGGACCAAACTTCGCACACATACACTTCGGGGCGGGACGGGTGTCGTAGGTTACTCTTCCGTATCGACTGGTATCTATTTTATCGATTTTTTGCAAACTTCAAGCTACGGGGCTGAAATTCGTGACAGGAGAGTAAGTGAGCATGCTGCTTA